GGGCGTCCTTGACGTTCTTGAAACGCTGCCGCGCCGAGTCTGTCCACGTGACAGGCGCTCTCGAGCGTTTTGCCTTGTGGGTGATTAAGGCGTGCAGAGGCTGCAGGAGCTCGGCTGCCTGGGGGATGAAGCGGTGGTAGTAGGCTACCATCCCCAGGAACCTCCGTAGCTGGGACTGAGTGGTCGGTTCCGGGAAGTCTTTGATGGCCTCGACTCGTCCAGGCAGCGGGCGGACGCCGTCGGCGTCTACCGAGTGGCCGAGGAACACCACCTGCTCCTGTCCCAGGACGCACTTGTGCCTGTTGACGACGACGCCGTAGGTGTTGAGGCGCTGAAGCACTTGGTCCAGGAGCTGTAGGTGGTGTTCGGCGGTCGGGCTGGCCAGCAGAATGTCGTCCAGGTAGACGAAGCAGCCCGGTATGCCGCGGAGGACCTCATCCATGAAACGCTGGAAGGTCTGTCCAGCGTTTCTGAGGCCGAACGGCATCCGAACGCATTCGTAGAGGCCGAACGGTGTCGTGATGGCTGTCTTGGGGACGTCGGCAGGTTCCACCGGGATCTGGTGGTAAGCCTTCACCAAGTCAATGGTGCTGAAGACGGTGCACCCATGCAGGTCGGCTGAAAAGTCCCGCAGGTACGGCAGCGGGTAGCGGTCTGGTACGGTGCGGGCGTTCAGCGCTCTGTAGTCGCCGCAAGGACGCCACTCGCCGGGTCTCTTCTTTGGCACCATGTGGAGTGGAGTTGTCCAGCTGCTGCTCGACGGTCGAATGATGCCTTGCTGGAGCATCTTGTTGAACTCAGCACGTGCGATTTGAAGGCGCTCCGGCGGGAGGCGTCGTGGCCGCTGGTACACCGGTGGACCCTTGGTGACGATGTGGTGCGTCACGTTGTGCTTCACCGGTGTTGGTCCAGGTTTTGGTGAGGTCACATCCGGGTACCGGGCGAGGACAACTGCGAAGCGAGCAGCAGCCTGCTCCCGGACGAGACGCACTCCGATGGAGCACAGCCTTGACCGCTCGGCGCTGGCGCAGACGGTGCCGTCCCGCAGGAGACGCTGGTTGGCAACGTCCACGACGAGGTGATGTGCGGCCAGGAAGTCGGTGCCCAAGATGGGTGTGGTGACGTCAGTGACGAAGAATCGATGTTTCAGGCGGTGCTGCTGACTCAAGGTGACGTCCAGCAGGCAGGTGCCGTGCACCGCGATCGGTGAGCCGTTTGCCGCGACGAGCTGCTGGCCGACAGGAGCAGGGGTCAGCGTAGACCCGTTGGGCAGGCAGCGGCGAGGCAGCACGCTGACCTGCGCCCCGGTGTCGACTAGAAATTGCCGGTCCGTCTCCGTGTCCCTCACGAAGAGGAGTGGCGCGGCAGGAGGGGCGCCCGTGCTTTGCGCCATCAGCACGGGGCGCCTCAGTTTTCCGAGGCGATCCAGGAGCACGGCAACTTGCATCGGCGCGCTTGGGCGCCGAATCGCTGGTGGTACCAACACAGCGTGTCGTCGTGCGGCGGCGTTGAAGGACGAGCCGGTGACGGGCGGCGTGACTGGCGAGACGCTTGGCGCGGCCGGGAACGGCTGCGGTCGCGTCGCACGGCGTCCTCGAGTCGTCGGTTGCTGGCCTCCAGGCGCTCCATCTTAGCGACCAGGGAGGCGATGACGGTGTCCAGCGCAGGGGTTGCAGCTGGCGCTGGGGCTGTCACTGCAGCAGCGATGGGCGGTGCCGGCTGTGTGTACGGCTGTGCCGCGATCGCTGATAGCCGTGGGTCGGGTCCGCTAGCTTCCAGGTACCGGTCGGCCGCTTCTGCCAGTGCGTCAAGCGTGCTGTCGGCTGGCAGGAGGGCGAGGGCAGCACGGACGGGCTGCGGTAGCCGTTGTTGAAATAGGGTACGGAAGAGCTCCGTATCAACCGGGGCGTCCCCGGCTGCGGCAAGCTCGTTGCGCATTGAGCGCAACAGCGCCGTCGGCTTCTGATCGCCGAGCTGCTGGCGGCCGAGCAGGGCTTGTAGTCGGTCGGCGCGTGACTGTGCCAGGCGGGCTTGGAGCGCTGCACACAGCACGTCAAAAGACCGAGATGACCGGATGACGTCCTTGACCTGGACGGCGATGTTGGCGGGGAGGTTTGCGACGAGGAGCTTAAACCTCAGCTCGTCGGAGTCGACCCCGCTGACGTCGAAAGCGCACTGCACCTGCAGTAGCCACAGGTCGGGCTCTTCCGGAGAGTATGGTGGTAGCCGGAAGCTAGCCATGGGCCGATGAGTTGACTCAGAGGCTGAAGCTGGAACGCTGGCTGGGTCTTGAGCTGCGGCGCCGGACTGTGCGCTGTCCGCCGGCATGACGAGAGGCTAAGGTCGAACAACGGAGATCACGTCGGGGTCACCAATTGTCGTACTGCGCTGTGGGTAGCGCGTGGCTGGACGGACGGTCTGTGACAATCTATTGATCTGTGGCTGATCTATTAGAGTGTCCGTCCGAGAGCCGTACGACGGCTGACAGAGCCTGGGGGTCGCGAACTGGTGTGGTAACCGTTACGCCCACCTGGGACGCCCGAGTCGGTACGGCACTTGCGGTGTCGTAACCGGATCGGCGGGAACCAGCAGAACGCTGTTGGACCGGCGGTGAAAGTCGGAACCGAGCACTCGCCCACCAGTGGGGCGTCTGGTCGAGCAGGTCTACCCGCTAAGGCAGCCTGAGCACGAACCAGTGGCAGGGTCCGATCAATGACCGTGGTCCGACCAGGGTGTCAGCGCAATGGCCAGTCAGAGGCGTCTTTAAGGGCGCAGAAGCCCACCTCGGTCGACTGTGGCCAGTGCAACCTAGTCAGGTCGTTTGTGTGAATCTCCGTGTTCTTCCCTCGCCTCAGAGTAGCCGCTCTTCTCCAAATGCCCGAGCCGTTTTCTATGTGTATTTGTCTTGTAGCGAACAGCAGAGTCGAGAAACGAATTGACAATGTCGCCGAAAGCCGCGGTCACATGCTGGCCGTCCCTAGTACTACCAATATGCCCGCAGGCGCGGCGAGAGACAAGCTCAACGTATGAGTCACCGTCCGGCTGCCGGGAGAGCCCCTACCGCGACCTTTGTCCACAGTCATGACGTCACGACAATGGGCTCCTAAACGTACGGGCAGCGGCCGCCTCAGGGGTGCCGCCGTGACCTTTGCACGACACGTTCTATAGCGTATGGCACAGCGGTTACTAGGAAGGTTGAGGCCAGCGGCAGGCCGGTTTACAAATAACAAACAAACTTGACGCGCAATTGGCAACAGGTAACAGATTGATTAATAAAGCGGTGACAATATAAATGAAAATGACAACATGAAATGACAAATCGCATAGATGACAAATCGCATAGATGATCCCTACAACCTCTGATGGTCATACGCCCAGTACAACATGTGTTGTCTGTCAAACAACAATCGACGACGGGATCCCTTCTCATCATCTCTTAAGCCATCGGTTGTCAATTCACCCACCCCGTTTCCCTAAAAATAGACGGTCAGATTCGGCCTTTACGACCCCTCTAGATTCGCCAGAGACGGGATCAGATCGCCGTTATTGCACCCGTCGGCCGTCTTAGTGTCTTTAATACTATATGACAGCTTCGACCACGGACGTCGGACGGGGTGATCGTTCCACGAATGTACGCACCATCCAGGCCTAGGATGCATCGAGGTTTAAAAGATTGCAGTCTGTAGATCAATCAACATAACAATGGTGGTATGCAACCACATTAAAATATCTCCCCGGCTCCCGCAACGTTCCAACGCCCCTCCGTTATGCATTCGCCTTGTGTGTCCGCCGAGCCGGCTTGCCTCCAATGACGTCATCGGCCGGCCGGCGGCGTTCAAGGTCAAACGGCTGGTGTCCTTACCTGGTATATAGGGCCTTGGCTTAGCTGCAGTGTTGCCGCTATGGTACGATTGTACCAGATTTGGTACATTTCAACACTTTCTGGTACGCTGGTACACTGAGGCCCAGATCTGGTACATTTCACGGTTTCGCGCAAGCATTTCTTTTTTACGTTAAATTTATATATTTCTGCCTCCAAAAATCAATCAGAATCAATATTAAAACGAATATGCTGTAACAGGAAGAGCACTTAAATAAGCATCTTCCTAGGCATGTTCCTAAACTTCGTTTTTTTTTCAAAACCGGTTTGAATCCAACTACATTTTTTGACTAAGCACGCGTTTTACCCAGCGAAACGACCAAAAACTGAGCTTGAGAAAATCGAACGTGGCCAAACGTGTGATTTATTCCCGATAAATTCCATGCGCACTTTTTAGAACTTAACATTGGAACAGTGATGATCTCATGCTGTCGAACTTGCATTGCAATGTAATGTATAACGCAGTACCTATTACTACCATGGACAGAATTGTTTACTCCGTTCTGACCTCGGAAACAATGAAACTGAAATTTTCCTTAAATTCGTTGACACATTAAGCCACCGTAGGGATATTAGCTGCCAGCTGCCATCAGTGACGTCATCATAGTATGATAATTTTTGAAGATACAATTTGCCTGTATTTACCGAGCATAATTTGAAATTGAATATTTTACCGGTAATAAATTATTGGCCAGACGCTGAAGTTGCCAAAACTAACGTGAGAGCTTCGATGATGAACTTGGAGCCAAACCGGTGTTGAAAAAAAAAACGAACTATACCTATACTCCTTAGCAATATAGTAGGTATGAGAAGTTACAATTATTGTTAGCCTGACAATTACGTAACATCAATGCGGTTAAAGCAAATCATATTATGAGGTGGATACGGACAGCAGATGTCGCATATATCCAAATATGAGCACCAAACACAGGAATTGACCGGAATTGATGTAGAATCTTGGTGATCTGTGACGTTTTGGTGTATTTTATACAATGGTACATAACTTGGTACATTGGCATACCGCATATGGTACGAAATAGGTTCGTTTTGGTACATTTTCACTCAGAATCTGGTACGTGTCGAAAATTCCCAACGGCAACACTGCTTAGCTTGCTGCTTAGCTGTGTGAGGAATCGCCGGGATGTGTGCATGATGTGTCTATATTTTCCATTATTTTACTGTATCACATTCTGGTGACACTTGTAGGGATCGCTTTTAATTCCTTAAAAGGTCATGAAATCATATGATCAAGTTGATCAACTTTTCAAGGTTTTCTAGTTCAAGTTCTGAGTGTGAATGCTTACTAGTAATTAGGTAGGTATGTTCCGTTCCTGATTCAATTCAAACTTCCATTGACTTGTGCCTTTATCAAAAAAGCTTTATTTACTTTCAAATACTAAGATGCATCTCATGAATAGTTTTTTTTTGCTGCATTAACCTGCGCCTCGTAGGGCTATTGGGGGACCCTACCATCCTTGGGGGGGGGGGGGGGCGTTTCGGCCTTCCCCAAAGATCTCGGAAGTTTACCGGCCAATTTTTAAAATTCAAAATAAGCCTTATGTTAAGGAATTGTATTTTAATTTCTTGCTTATTTAACTATGCCTAGGTGGGTACTTGTAAGCATGCTGATATACCACCTTGTCAGAACTGACATTGTACATTATCAACAAACTGTTAGCATATGTGTATGCTTTTGGGAACAACTCTTGAAATGTCTGAACTCTGAATTCAATGTGGGCTTAACTAATGTGGATGTGGATGTTATCATTATGGATATTTATCTTTTGAACACCAGCACTCAGCAGTCCACACTGCACAGTGAATTTTCTTTACACTTTGGATCAGAATGCACTAGAATATTTTGTCTATGCACCAAAATCTATTAGAACCATGTGTCAGAATCGGAGTCTAGTTCTACGGTGTCTACTAAATAACGAGAGTTATGCATGATAGGTTCTAATTGGTACCATAAGCAGTACCATAACTTGATGCACCATGGATTCTGCTGATTGTGTTGGGATGGATTGCCTACACTTTGTTATGAATGTATCTGCTAACTACTACAATGGGCGCTGAAGACATATGCAGTGGGGTCTACCTTGAACCCAATTCCAAATTAGGAACGTTAGCATTTAATACTGTATTGCTGTCTACTCTAAATGTTTATTACATGTTTTTCTTTTTTCAGGTAAATGTGAAGAGCTCTTTCCAATTTGGAAAATGTGAATGCAATCATGAATCGCTTTGCCATAAGACATGCAGTGAAAAGTATTTTATGTATTTTGATCTATTTTTTCTTCTCAATATCATTGACATTCTATCAGAAACATCTCCTACAGGTATGGTGTTGATCTGTTTTAATCAGGATTCATTTGTTGAAGATTAAAACTCATTCTTATGAGCTGGTGCATGATTGCTGAGAGTGAATTTATAAAAAATATCAAATTGTTTTCTTTTGGGTTGCACTGTTTGCAAGTTGTGAAATAAAGATAACTAGTTGACCCCAGTTTTTCAACTAGTCTGCTTGCATGATCAGAAAGGTTCTGCTATATTGAGCGGCCTGGGATTTGCCTTGCTCAATGCTCCATCTGAATTCTCGCCTTTGCCAGGTATTTGTGTTGTGTCTGCCATCGTCATGTCATCGAGGTGCTGTTGCAGATCAGCCTCAATGCGCTGCTGACTGTCCACACTGCCGACAGGAGCTGCGCTTTCCACTCTCCATCGTGTTGGCGCACCTGACGGTGAAATTCCTGCTGGCGGCCGCGGTCCGAAACTACCTGGAATGCACGTACCACACGCAGCGGACCACGCTGTCATGGCGCGTCTTCTGGACCAAGATGGCTGCACCAGGCGTGTTCAGCGCGCTAGACATCGGTCTTTCACAGTGGAGCTTTGAGTTCATCAGTGTTACACTTTACACAATGACAAAAAGCACATCGGTCATATTTATTTACATATGTGCGCTATTTCTTCGCATCGAAAAATTGGTGAGTCTTTGAAAGGTGGCTATATTGTACTATAACAAGAAAACCACCAGATTATTTTGCTTTTTAGTTACAACGGAATGAAAGATGTCCGGATAATTTTGTTAGGTTCACCCTCTGCTTTATTACTTCCTGATTCAAATACAGAACTTCGCAAGCACTACGTGGGGCGTTCCACGACAAATCGACAAGTGCCCTGCACCCTCATATTTTATTTTTTGCTAAAAAGTGGTCTAATGGGTTGTGATGGGCGGGGAAGCCAGCTGTGGCAAGGATTTTTTTCTTCGAACAACGTTTCCGAGATATAGCCTCGGGCAATTCCTGGAGTTCGCGCTGCAGCCCTATGTTTGGCGGCCTATAACTCAGAAACTATTGGTTTTTTACGATAAAAACTTGATATGGTTCAACTCACAATCAACCAACAAACATTTTGCTTATCTCGGATTTTCAATTTTTGAAAATTTTGATCACGTGACCTTTTGTTCTATTTTTCGAAGAGTGACCTTGATATTTTCCCCACTGAAAGTTGCAATTTTGTCTGATGACGATTAAAGCCTTATCAATTGTCATTCATATGCGATAATAAAAAAGTGGTTATCGCCCTGCGTTGACCTCAGGTCAGGTCATTTTTATGACCTGTCTATTATTACGAGCGGGAGCGACAGCGAGATCTCGAGAATAAAGCAAGATAGCGACAAGCAGTAAACGGTAAAGGGTACACACGGATAAGGTCTATAATTTTTACTGAGGTCATTTTCAGTTCAGGTCAAAGATGACGTCACAGGAGCTAAAAGGAAGTCAAAATAGCGGCACTATACATATATATGAAGTTTTTCTCGAATAACTTTCAAGGTATCCCACCTAGGAACAAACTAATAGCACCATCGTGATCCTCTCGTCGATCCGCATCGAAACTTATGTATTTTGACCTCGAAAGGTTGAAAGGTCAAAAGTTGACCCTAGGTCACGTGATCTAAGGTCAACTTTTGACCTTTCGACCTTTCGAGGTCAACATACATATGTTTCGATGCGGATCGACGAGAGGATCACGATGGTGCTATTAGTTTGTTCCTAGGTGGGATACCTTGAAAGTTATTCGAGAAAAACTTCATATATATGTATAGTGCCGCTATTTTGACTTCCTTTTAGCTCATGTGACGTCATCTTTGACCTGACCTGAAAATGACCTCAGTAAAAATTATAGACCTTATCCGTGTGTACCCTTTACCGTTTACCGCTTGTCGCTATCTTGCTTTATTCTCGAGATCTCGCTGTCGCTCCCGCTCGTAATAATGGACAGGTCATAAAAATGACCTGACCTGAGGTCAACGCAGGGCGATAACCATTTTTTTTTTATTATCGCATATGAATGACAATTGATAAGGCTTTAATCGTCATCAGACAAAATTGCAACTTTCAGTGGGGAAAATATCAAGGTCACTCTTCAAAAAATAGGACAAAAGGTCACGTGATCAAAATTTTCAAAAATTGAAAATCCGAGATAGTCAAAATGTTTGTTGGTTGATTGTGTGTTGAACCATATAAAGTTTTTACCGTAAAAAACCAATAGTTTCTGAGTTATAGGCCGCGAAACATAGGGCTGCAGCGCGAACTCCAGGAATTGCCCGAGGCTATATCTCGGAAACCGTTGATCGAAGAAAAAAATCCTTGCCACAGCTGGCTTCCCCGCCCATCACAACCCCTTACACCAGTTTTCAACGAAGAATAAAATATGAGGGTGCAAATTTAATTTTTTATTTGTCGATTTGTCGTGGAACGCCCCACGTGTTACTTAACTTTTAGCGATGTTTCATGTTTAACGATATCCGATCTGAGTTTCCATTTTATTTTATAAAAGTACTCTGAAGTAAATCAGATATTACAGGCCAACACAATCTTGGCCTATTAGAAGCATATGTATGAGAACGTTTATAGTGCAGTTTTTGACCAGCATATATTTGAATGGATATGCTGCTGTGGGCTTCTGCGGTCTGTAACGTTTCTTGAATGTGTCTGACGCCTCTGCGGCCCCCGCCAGCAATGGTCGATGGCTGTGATAGTGATGCTCATCTCCGGAGGGCTGGTCACCTTCACCTACGAGTCGACCACCTTCCACCTGCTGGGCTTCCTGATGGCGCTGACGGCTTCCGTCACCAGGTGAGCGACACTGTTTGACACCCAGAAACGTCAGAATGAAGTGCTTCCTTACGACCGATCGAGATGCCGATGAAGTGTTCAAGTTAAAGGCGGAGAGTAATATCGTCATAGATGCTGTTTTTGCGAACGGTTGAGTAGTATTTTACTTATTGGAACGGCTTGGCAGAAACGCGATTCAATGTCTATCTGAATGTAACTTAGCGGGGGCATAGGCCGCTTGTATAGCGCTTGACCGTCTTACGAGGTGTTAACCGGTGTTTGCGTCTTGTACCTACATATTGACTTGTTTGCTTGTTTCCGACATCTAATCGCCCACCTTTTCTTGGTCGTTCGTCGTCACTCGTATTGTGAACTGCTTCTGCACCTCATTTATTTCATTAATCCACGTATCCCTTGTCACATATGTCCGATTCACTGCTTTCGATTGCGTCCAAACAACCTGTTTTGTATCCAAGTGCAGATACATTACGGTGCACAGCTTTCATCTATGTCCCTATCTGTCCCATTAACTGCCGGACGGGCGTGGTTTACTTCCAGCGGCCTTCGCTGGACGCTCTCCCAGATCCTGATGCAGAAGGAGGAGCTCGGTCTGGCGAACCCAATAGACATGATCTACCACATCCAGCCCTGGATGATGGTTTCACTTCTGCCGTTCGCCGTATTTTTCGAAGGTGGGTGAACGGAGAAAATGCTTGTCAATGCAGATTCACGTTTTCATCCCTTGGCCATGTGATTGTGGCATCGTGAAAGTATTTGAATGACGTAGAAATGAAAATAAGTGGGCCATCAGATGCTCATATTATGAAAAATCGTCTCAGGGTAAATATCAGGTAAGTTGGCTTCGTTAAGGGCATGCATGGTAACGAATGAGGATTATTGTTTCACGGCTAAGTTTTCCTGTCCTTTTGTAGAAATGAATCCATTTTATCTGGATCATCAGCCATGTATTATTGAAGCTGAAATTCTAATTGTTTATAACTGCGCAAAAGGAATTCGGAAAATTTGATCTGATTTAAGCGCGCTGCCTCACTTACGAGGGCACTCTTCAATGTCTTTCGACTTTTGTGTTCTTTTAATGCCTATGCTTTGGTTGTGTTCATCAAAATCCGGTTATAAAAATGCTTGAATTTGCTCGAGTCATTCTATTTGGGGCTCATCCGATCATGTTTTCTATATCGTCGCGCTCCGTTGTGAACCTGTCGTTGTTGTGGTCTGTTTGTGGTGGAGGGGCGCCTGGACCGTGCCATTTGCGGCGGCTGAACTGCCGTGGCAGATCGATACCGTACACACCTGTCGGTTGTGTGCGGCGACAGCCCGCCATTTACGGTGCCGGCGCCGCCTGTCCGCCACACAATAACCATATCCACCACTTGGGCGGTCACCAGTCACCACTCACCTCCGGAGGGCACTGCGTATAACCGCGCATAACGAACTTCTCGAAGTTGCTTCAGTTCGGTCTGGTAGCTAATTCTATCAATGTATGCGAGAAGAAATGACTGATATTATACAGTAGTAAAAAAGAAAATTGCGAATGTTGATTGTGCCGTCAACCGGGCGTCGAGTGGCTCATTTCGGCTATGAGCCGTTGTCTTTTCAGCAGCCAATCAGACTGGTGGTAGGTCCCTGGACCCGATGACGTGGCCACTAGAGTCAGAGGTCATAATTTTTCGCCCAATTATGCAGCGTTACGATATAATTATTTTTGTTATTCATATCACCAGGTTGTCGCCATGATTATAACCATAGATGCCGTCTCAGTGACCAGTGTGCTCAGTCCACAGTGAAGTAAATAGGAAGCGTGCCCGCACGAAGAACTGCCCCGTTTTCGTGTTGTTGCTCTTTCCGGTTTCGCGAAATTTCCCTTTTCGACACTCCCGGTGGAGCGTTGTGGAATCTGGTTGCTATCAGAGTCCGAGATCTCACCCTGGCTATCCGTCTGTCTCCAGGCGCTGCGGTGGCCACCTCGGTCGACCTGTTCCTCTACGCTGAGCCGCGCCAGATCGTCTCGTCGGCCGGTCGCGTCCTGCTCGGCTGCCTGCTGGCCTTTCTGATGGACGCCGCCGAGTTCATGGCGCTGCGAGTCACCTCCAGCGTCACACTCTGCGTGGCCGGCGTGTTCAAGGTGAGATCCTGGTGTCCCGAGTCGATCCACTCGCTGTTCCGAGTCGATTACACTCGGCTCTCGGGTCGTTAGACCCGTTGTAAGGGTGGTCCGCAGTAGACGAGCTGAGCAGCCGCCGCTAATTGAAGTAAAGGTTTGCTTTTCGATTATTATGGTCCGGTGGTCTTTATGCGTGGCGATTTTGGGTTACAAATGGAATATCACGTCAAACGGCTAAATTAGACCTTGCCATTTGAGTGACTTAATTGTCGGTGCTGCCCAGATTTCTAGCTTCTGGTTGCTGTCTATCTGCCCCGGTGTGACGCTGTGGATCCCGTTTCCGTCTGTCCATGTGTGACACTGGATCCCACTGTTGCTGTGTCCGCCCCGGTGTTTCCTTCCAGTCTGTCCACGAGGTTTGGTACGGGATCCCTCAGCTGTCCCTGTGAGTTGTGACGGCATCGCTCCCACCCTTCCATTCCTTCCATTCCAGCTGTTTCCGTCCCGGTGTGACTCTATGGCTTCATCTGTCTTCAGGAAGTGTGACTCTGGGTCCTATGACTGTTGCTGTGTCTGCCCCGCTATGACGGCTGATGACCCCGCTCCTCTCTGTCTTCAGGAGGTGTGCACGCTGCTGCTGGCCATCCTGGTAGCCGGCGACGAGCTGGGCGCCCTGAAGGCCGTCGGCCTGGTCACCTGTGTGGCCGGCATCACGCTGCACGCGGCGCTGAAGGCGCGCCGACTCCTGACCGGAGAGGGCGGCCCCGGCTCCGGCGATCGGGGGGACGGACGGGTGACCGAGCTGCCGCTGCTGGCTCACTCGGACGACGACGAGGATGAGGACGTACTGTTCCACCAGTCGAGCCACTGACCGGCCGCGGGGGTCGCACACGCAGAGAGGATGAGATAGAGACACAACACACTACGCACAGAGGGGCGAGATACACACACACACACTACACTGAGAACATGGGACAGAGTCGAACGTAATCCATTACACTGACAACTTACACCGGGCAGAGCCGGGTAATTCGATACACTATTACACATGCGCAAACAGCCAACATCAGGACACAGTACATACTACACCAGTCACACACGTAACACAATTCGTACAGAGTGTAGACTATGGGAGTGCGTGGATAACTTAAATCGTATTGTGACAGGCTTGTTGATGTGTTTTTGTGTTTTGTTTGAGGGTATTGTACTTGAAGGGGCGACGTGTTGTCATTATTGCCCGTTTTATCGGGCGTATCGGCGTACAGTGTGGTGTGAAATGCGACATAATCCGGTGCTGGGACCACATTGGGTGTACGAATTTCACGAAACGCGAAACGATACACCCATCGAAGATGACCTACTGGTCTGGGGTGTATGGTCATAAGAGTTTTATCCCTGACATTTATTTTTGCTCACTGGTCGTGTCCGTCTTGATCGTTCGCCAAACGTCAAACTGACATCAGTCTCGTAACCGCTACATAGTGTGCGTGCCGTTCTGTCTAATTTCTGTTTCCAAAGTGTGATTTGGGAAACAGCCATAGAGTTTATCATGTATTCCGTGAGTCTCAATGTTGACGCTTTCAATCTGCTGTTTCGCTCCAACAACTTGGGAACTCTTGTGAGAACAAATTGACCAGAATGCCATCGATGCTAACTTATCGGGACCAATGCATTGCAAGAATGCTGCCACTAACTGCAATGGCTTGGTAGCGGTATCAAGCTTTATTCGGGTTGGATTTGGGGTCTCTGCCGGGCATACCTGCGATTGCGAACAATCATTCCATCATCGATAATACATTGTTATGCTATTAAGTTTTTTAGGTTGAATGTAGATCAATTATGCAAGTCCGTCAGAGAGCTGTATGAATTCTAGTCAGACAAGGAATATTTTCAGCCTCTTGATGTTACACCATTTTCATCGGTTATAGTATCCCATCTCATACCTACCTGGCAGAGAGTAACCAGCGGATTTTAAACCCATGCCGGGTATACCACTGGCGGGGTACCTGTAGAACAAAATCCGTTCTAGGCATCCGATCACGTGAACCTTTTGTTGTCTCGCTATCGACAAACTACAAAGTTAATCGGCCTGACGGCTGTTGAGCCTTTTATTACCACTCACAACCCCCTGAACACTAAGAGCGATAAGATGAGCGACACACTATATCACAGCTTCTTGATAACTTACGATAACAAACGCGTCATCATGGAATATGTCAGTTTTAACGATGGTCGTATTTTCGAAACATTTATAAAGTAGTGTTCCTTATTCCTGCAGCGATTCTCTGCCTGGAGGCGTACTCTGTCACCGAGTGTCCACACCTAGCGCGTCTCGGAGCACCTCTGGCAGCACCTGTTCGTGCAGATGTCGGACGCCGCCGTGTGACAGCGGCCCGCTCAGGTCCTGGTACTCCAGTCGCACCGTGCACGCTCGCCGTCCACTGTCCGGCTGTTCGTACTCGTCAATCAGTTCCAGCCGCACCAGCAGTTCACCCAGCGCTGCCCGCAGCGCGCGTCGCAGCCGGCACCACGAGAAGGGCGCGTCCGACGGACCGCCGCCGCTCACCCAGAAGCTCATGTCGAGCGAGTAGCTCGGAGGATAGACACTGTGCAGGCGGAGCGCAGTGCCGTCGGCGGTGAAGTCGGAGCGCACCGCGTGTCGCCAGTCGTCCTCCTGCACCCAGCACGCGGTGATAGCGTCCACATCAAACGTCACCGTGGAGCTGTCCGTGTCGCCCGTCCGGACTCGAGCCACCGGTAGCCAGCCGGAGCCGCAGCCGGCGCGCAGCTCCAGCCCGTCCTCCTGGCGACTCTTCTTACAGACCAGGCCGAACGCGGCCAGCGCGTGTCGCGGCTCGGGCGCGGCGTCGGCCGGTCCACTGATGGTCAGTCGGGTCCGCAGCGGCGCGTCCGCCACCGTCGGGCCCACCTCCCCGTCCCGTACGGTGTATGTGACACGGACGTCCTGTCCGGCACCGGAACCCTCCTCCGGAGAGCCGCCGCCGTCCGACCGGCAGACGAGGTCCCCGCCGGCCGCCGCGTCACTCAGCTCCGCCGGCCCGGCGCCGTAACAGCGACCGTCGTGCTCCACCAGCACACGGGGACGGGGAGTCGCGCCCGCCGCCAGCCGGCGCACCACGTGAGCGGCCAGCGAGCTGTCGTCCGGCGGCAGTCGGCGCAGCCAGTACTGGGCCAGCGGCAGCGGCGTGCCGTCCAGCAGCAGGCGTGCCGGTCCGCCCGGCAGCCGCCGGCGCACGGTGTCCGGGCACAGCGGCCGGCCGGCCTCCAGCACGTGGATCAGACCGTCCCTGAAACACCGACCCGACGCAACATTGAGTAGACTCAGTGATACGATATCTTACACCGGATGACCTATGCTGTGATTATATAGCCAACCATAAAGACTGCTCTGCTCCGCACCAGACGGTCCAGCGCCGACAGGAAGCTCCATATTCCATATGCTTAGACACGCTGAATGAAGTCTTGTGGTTGGGACTCGCCGGGATAGGAGTTCCGGGAGTGGGACACGCGGGCTGACAGTAGGGAGGCGCTGCGGCACGCACCTGGTATGGAAGGTGCGGCTCTGACTGCCGCGGTTCCCGGTCGGCCGGTACCCGGGCACCTGTTGGGCCTGGAACGGCTCCAGTCGGCGCAGCACGAGGCCGGCGGCGGCCGCCTGAGCCGTCAGCTGCCAGCTGTCGGACCAGGCGCGGCGCACCGAGTCGCCGGCCGTGCCGCCCTGGCCGGCGCACAGCGTCACCCAGACCTGCCGGAAACACACAGAGTCAATCAGACCTGCCGGAAACACACAGCGTCACCCAGACCTGCAGGAAGCATGATTGCTGATCGGAAAATCAGAGGCCAATTTTTATGTTCCAAGACATCAAAACTTGATAAAAATGTCATAACCATTTTGTCCTACCGCGACTGACTCGCCATGCACATCATTTCCCAAGGGAAGGGAGATGGTTATGAAGTTTACCGTAAACGTTATCAGTCTCGCTTTATCGAGTGCATTGGCCGGTCACGCTCAGGGGTGCGAAAAGAACTTCATCACATTAAGCCCCGAATCGTCATCTTACCTGGCCAGAATCCGCTAGAAGTGGTGCTGCTGATGCCAAAAAGTCCCGCAACAGCGCTCTGCACAGGTGAATTTTCATCTTGTGACCCGTGTGAGGAAAATTGAATATGATGTAATCATAGCGATTACCACTGATTGCTTCATACGAAGCGAGCTTTGTGGCATCAACTCCGGTCAGCACCGTTATGCCTGTAAGAGATGAAGATCAAGGATGACATTTGAATGAATAAATCTAGTCGTAGGGTTCCTGGGTTACCGTAAGCCTGCGACAGCTAGACAACTGAACAAGGCTTAAATTGTCATGAACAAATATTTTTATAATTGTCTCCTACCTGTTGATTGTAGATAGGCCGAGTTGTCTGAGGCTTCATCAGTTAGGTCTTTACTGTAACAAGTAACGATGGCGCCTTTAGGGAGATGATCTTTCTCGCAGAGAGATCGAGTGAAAGAAAAGTCTCCTTCTCCCAAGTATAACTGCTTGCCAGTGCTAGGAAACCCCATTGTTTCTGAAACAAATCAAACAATTCATCAACCTGGATTAATGGTGATAGGTGGGCTATGAGCATGGCAAATAGGGAAAGGTGGGCATAGTTCAGACAATTTGTCCTTAGGCGTCATATGCTCAGTAGCGATTCAGGTCCGGTGAACGGCAAATAGTGCCTCTGTTGCATCCATATGTGCAGAGGCGTATACGGAGCGACCTTCAAGTTGGGGGAGGGGGGGAATGGTCAGGTCATCAAGTCTGACCCTACACGTCATCTGGACCACGTCTGGCAATGTGGCTCCTAAATTCTTCAGACAGTAAGGAATTTTCTGATCGCATGGTGGTCAGGATTTGGTGCATGAAAACATCATCTGTGATCAAAACTAGCATAAAATTCATGATCATGATGATGACCAGCACCCCGAAAACCCTCATTCAGAAACCGTCACACTACGTCCGACCATGGATAATCCATGCTACGACGTTCTAACAAGTCCCGACTTTCCCGACTTTTGGGTCTTTGACCTGACGTGAAAGGTCAACCGAAGACCTATGTAGGACCATAAAATAAGGTATCATCAGCTTCCTCTCATCACGGGCAACACGCTCGCTTTTTCCGTGAAGCTCTAGCCCGATCAGGGGCCAAACGACAAGGGGGTGGGGTGGGGGTTCAAAAGACCGCCTATATGTTCGCGGCTGGCAAAACGGACGAGGGTTAAACGTGTAGCTTACTATCTTACTGATCATTTACCCTCTTCACGTCATTTACTGTCAGATGTGTAGCTTACAGACGGTTCCAAGCATCCTCATTTCCAACTGCCCGAGGCATCCAATCATAGCCCAACAGCTTGTCAAAAGGCAATTTGTGAACAGACGTGAATTCTCAGTTCTCACGCTCAATACAGCTAGGTTAGATTCACAACATCCTAGTGACCAGACATGGCACGGATCCCAGCAGCTGAGCAGCAACCAATCACAAAAACTGAGGTGGCTGAGATTGACAGTCTTCAAGTCTGGAATTATGGTGGAAAACATGGCTGATAAAAACCTCTCAATGAAGTATGAACCATTATTTTGCATTCCTTCAGAGTTTACAGTTCTGAGAAAATCAGGCCTCAATAACAACTGGATAAAATCAGCTGGCTGGCCAGCTGGCGATGTACAATAGCTGTTATTTATTGATATAAACACGGTAGGAGATGGACATGAACACGCAAAATGGCACTCACTGTAAAATTAAGAAATGGATATTTAGTAGAACCTAATTTGTATCTGGCATTGATATATAACAAGCTCTGCTAGCGCCACCAGACGGTGCCAGCTGCCAATTGTCCAGAAAAAAGCACAGCCCAGAAAATCACTCAAGATTCATCCTGAATCAATGATCCGGGATCGAGGATCCAAGCAGGGCACATCAACATGTCCAAGCTGGATCCAGCCAGGGTTCAAGTCAGAACTAGCCAATGGAATGCAAAGCCTGAAAATCATATCAGTCCAATTTCTCAGATGTACCTACCTGAGAGGTATTTTACGGCACAGTCTATATCATGATATACCCCTTGCTACGAAATCAAAGTTCTAGCCAAGCTCTAGGACTGCATTCCAGTCTAGGTTGCATTTTGCAGCCACTTTGTCTTGAATATAATATAGTTCAAAAATCAAAATGTAGTTGAGCATCTTCTAACATCTTCTATAATAGAATACCATGCTTTTGGTACTAAGCGCCTGTACCCCACGGCCCTCTTTCTAAAAATTAATGTATGCTTCCCGCACACTGCAAGTTTGCAATCGGCTGCAATTTGAATTTGTCGATGGGGTCCACCGTCCGCCCACGTGCAAGCACGAACTCCGTGTATAATCATAAATGTAAAACCTGCGCCATTTCTGAAATAGTATAGAATGTGCTAGCATTACTATTTCTAAATGACGTCATCCTGAAATCTCAAATCTCAATGCATAATTCTGCTGGTATTTTCATGGAAACCGTGAGCGCTAGGTTTTGAAGTGCTGGTTTGTCGAACAGTGTAATGTTGCAGACGTCAATTGCCTAGTGGATGGAATTGATAAATAACAACAGAGCCTTTCTCATAAACATTTTTTACTATTACTGGTGTATAGTAGAATAGTGATTTCAAGTTTACTAATCACTGTTGCCCTCTGTCTCATAAACAATAGTGAAAAGTAATTAGTAAAAGAGTAAGATTTCGAAGCTCAGTAACGCTTGAAAACGAGTCATGGGACCTCCGTGTGGAAGATATCTTTTTAATTTTATTTTGACCGTCGAAATGCGGTAGACACCGTTGCAGTTCTGGCTATGGGCCTGTTCCAGCGCCTCCAGAATAAATTCTTGACTGGAGGCTCTACCAGAGGTTTTACTGGAGGCGCTGGAACGCAATCTGGAGATTTCTGGAGATTGGTGTCATAGATACCAAAAGAATGACGATTGTTCTCTCTTGAAACGCAAAATTTGTTTTCAATTTTAGTTAAAAAGATAAATAAAATTATAGCAATGTAATTTTCTTTACATTCAAGTTGTAAAATTATCAGTCAAATGTCCTTTGTTTACATTCGTGATTGTCACATGTGCGCCATAATTGTAGACCAGAGCCTCCAGAGAAATTTGGACCTCTCAACTCTCTGGAGGCTACTGGAGGTTTCTGGAGCTTTGGCGAGAGCTTTCTGGAGCTTTCTGGAGGCGCTGGAACGCTCTCTGGAGAATTCTAGAGCTTTCTGGAGCTTTCTGGAGGTTTCTGGAGGCGCTGGAACAGGCCCTATATATCTTGGTAGCTAGACCAATGATCGGCACGGGACCAGCATCCACGTATCGATAATTGAACGAGCTATCAAATAACATAGGTTTATGCCATGAAGGAACCGGCGAATGTTTGATGAATCATGCGATTTAGAGATAGCTGACGCAACTAGATATTGTTTTCGATGGAAGGGGGTCAGAGTTTTTAAAGCAGGCCCCCACGGCACACCCACTTTTAAAATATTTCAGCATTCCGTGCGCTTCTTGCCATTAAGTTAAGGATCCCTGCAATCAAGTTGGCTTTGAATTTTGACCTAAATTGGCTCGAGCTCAATTTTTAATGTGGAGATTTATTTTGTTGCGACCTTTCGTCTGGTCACTAAAATTTCATTTTTGGTAGCTGCTTCATTTACAGAGCAATGCAAAGGAAAGGGAAACACCCCCAGACCCGGGCACTGGATTGGACTAGACTTTCCCTGGGTTGGATTTCCCTGCCTCGGCTAGCCTAGTCCGTACCAAATCTGTACGTGGCTTTTTAAAAAATGCCTATCACATTTCAGTTGCATGTATTTTGTTGTAGCTACATATTCACATGGTTATATCAAAGATTACAAACGCACAAGCCACAACCGCACAGACACTTACGTATCTACAACACATGGGCGAGAAAACAGATCTCCCACGTGCCGCCAGTACGGCCCAATATGAGCTCGTACGGGCGCTCCCGCGCCGCGGTCAAAGTTGCTATTTGCTCGTCGGCCTTCTCCTTCACACTGTGCAGTGTGCACGGTTAGTTATTTGAGCACATGACTTCGATAGCCGGCAGATCCCGCTCGTAGCTGACCGTCACTTACCTACAACGCTGCTTGTAGGTGGGCATACGAGAACGTCGCACACAATAGCCCCAGTGGATGGCATCACTGATGTAATGCATGACTCCGTCCGACCAACCGGTAAAGTCATTAGAAGATCCAGAAGTTATTTGATATGCTGGGGGAGGCATGCTCCCCAATAATGTGCTTCATTTTTGCTTTTTCAAAAATTATTGTGATATATTATGCCTATTTGTGCTGTTTAAATCAAACTTCTTATAAAAGTTGTTGATTTCCCTCTCAATGCGAGGAAAAATGCGTAAGTTCGTACCTTTGGGCGCTGCAGAGGGGGACAAATACTCCAACGTGCCCCTCGAACCATCAATGGTCACGGCGGTGAGCGCTATTTTGCTTCAAGCTGCATCTAAGTGTTCAGCACCCACAAAGTATTCAGCGTCGTTTTGTACTCACAAGACCAATTACGTTTCTTTCACTTCAGGTTCAGGTTCAAGTAGTAGGATAATGTTGGACTTGCGTTTATTCCAAGGCTCTATAGGTTTATTCTATGCCGACATCGAAAATGCTTCGGTTACTGGGTCTTCCTTTATTATGTTTCAGTGATTGCCCGTTGTCCGTGTGTCTTGTCCTTTTTCAATTAATGTCTCTCCTTCAATGAAAATCCATCGCAGTTCACATTTTGAACGTTTTGAACATATCTCCACTTCACATTAGCTTGCTAAAAATACGCTTGACCTCGTTCAGTTTGCCAGGATGGAGAGCCAACTTTTCATATGATTTATCGTGAGGTTTTAGCAACAATAGATGTTTTTAAAGAAAAAATGAAGTTTGTTATTTGTCAATAAAAGGCTTATGCCGAAAACTCAGGGCATGCATTAAGACATAAAGTACAATTAAAGCTAAAAGCATAACTCCTAAGCTGTTTTACTGCAAGGTAGAGCAAGGGTGAAATTGACAGCACGAAAGCAAACGTCATTCGACTTTTTTACTAGGGCACGTGCTTTTATGAAACACAACCCAGGATCTTCCTACTGGTCACCAGTAAAACTGCGCTATAGTAACCTAGTAAATTTGCAACTCCAGGTAAAAGTAATTTTTGCTTTATAAAACAAAATTTTACTGGTCAACAGTAAAATCGTGCTTTTTACTATTACTTTTTACTAGACAAAGCTTTATGAGAAAGGCTACAGTAGGCAGGGTCAAGGCAGGGTATAGTAGTGAAGGTGCCCGTCGACGTGTTTGGACGCGGGGACCGAAAGCATATATATATCAATATGTAATTTTCACCGGAGAGAGTATTTGATTCAATAATATTGATATGATCAACATCCTACCCTGCAGAGTGCAGACTGCGTTATTTTCCTTGGCACTTGCTTTCTTGTTGTTTGCTTGTATGATCGTTATACATAGGTACCTAGGCAAAGAAATAGCCAAGGAAATTAAAAAGAACGTTGGTCTCAGTCCAAACAATCTGAATCATTCAATTCAACTTGAACTGTATGCAATGTTTTTGAGCTGATGCAGGGAGAAAATTGTGTTTGCATGTGTCAAGGCATGACGCTGCACTCGTGCAGTGTGCTGTGCTGCTGCATTGGTGCGGCGATAGACAAATTTGACTTGATGCTCCAGCACTGCAAGCATCCGGGTTTGTTGATGTTTCCATGTTAACCCAATACAGCTCTGTGCGCAGTGCACTACTGCAGGCAACTGCAGGGCAGTGCGCTGCAGCGCAGCACCATGAAACACCACCCTGACCAACGCATTTAGTCTGCTACCACCAGGGCTGCGGAGTCGATGGATTTTCGGCGACTCCGACTCCGACTCCGGCTCCGGCTTTCAAAAACCAGCTCCGACTCAGACTCCGACTCCGGGCAGAATTGTCGACTCCGACCGACTCCAACTCCCGACTCCGACTCCGCAGACCCGGCAGAGCTGCGGAGTCGACAGATTTTCGGTGACTCCGACTCCGACTCTGGCTCGGGTTTCTAAAATTGACTCCGACTCCAACTCCGACTCCGGTCACAACTGTCGACTCCGACCGACTCCGACTCCGCAGCCCTGGCTACCACTTTCAATTTTATTGCTTAGCACAAACCACAAACTATGAAGTAGTTGCGCGGTAAAACTTCAGTTTTTTACGCTACTGCTAGTGCCAATGCTCACTGATATCAAGAGAAATTAGGATGTCAATGTGCTCTTTCATTTTGGTCTTGGGCTGGTCTCACTGTGAGTCTGAGTGAAATGCACAGTTGGTACTAAAAATGTATGACTGTGGGAAATTTCAATGTTAAGATTAGATTTCAGCAGATGCTCTTTCGGATGATAAATGTTACCACGATTGTGAACCGTGTGCCTGTGCAAGAACATTGTGGTATGCTTTACCTACCAGTTATCACTGTTTGTGCCTTGTGGTACCAATTAACCTGATGGCTGACATTTGTGGGTAGTTTAACTGATTTATGGTGATTTATGGCAGTTTAACTGATTATCAACTTTTTTCATTAACTCATTGTTGAGTAACTGCCAAATGGTGCTGGCATGCTATTTCAAAGTACATTTTCTTGAGTGCTATAATATAAACTATCTTACATTTTACAGCTCTGAGGTGATGGACGCAATCTGACTAATTGCCTTTACGAAATGTCATCTTTAACTGAAGAACAAAAGCTGAGGATTGAGGAAAACCGGCGAAAAGCATTATTGAGACGTGCTGAGAGAAGTCAGACACAGCCTTCCCATGCCTCTACTGGGAATGCCGAACTTACCAAAGTAGCAAACCATAAACCAACAATCGTTCCGCTGAAACGGAAATATGACGGGACATTTAATTCCAAACAAGGGAGCTCCTCGCCTCACTTCCAGAGCACAAATCGCGCATCGGGTTCGAGAACCAACACGGTGCCGATCAACAAGGAGTCCTTTTACGGGACGAAAAAACAGGTGGTGGCTGGCAGCTGCCATTTGATTTCTGCTGATCGTTTCATGGTGGAAGTGGGCTACAACCAAGACATGATAGCCATGTTCCAGAAAGTGCCGGACCGGCGCTATCATCCAGACGAGCGTCATTGGTCCTTCCCTGTCTCTCGCCACGATCAGCTGATGGCTGCTCTGAAGCCGCTCCACCCAGGTGTTGCAGTGGCACCGCTGCCTGCTCACGTGCTGCGCTGTCTCCGTCAGCCCGCTCCAGACGCAGGCAAGGTCGACCTCTCCACCCTGGACGCGACA